AGAGAGAGAGAGAGAGAGAGAGAGAGAGAGAGAGAGAGAGAGAGAGAGAGAGAGAGAGAGGGGGGGAGAGAGAGAGAGAGAAAGGGAGGGAGAGAGGGAGGGAGAAAGAGAGAGGGAAAGAAAACGCACAGTATAGATGTCGATCGGCAAGATTACCAGCACACGTAATAACAGCTCTTTTTTCTACTGCGGTGCGGTAACATTGATCGAAGAAAATGCGTCTCGGGTTACGCGAAAAAAAACATTTCACGTGAAGGGAAAGCGACTTGAATAGAAACAGAAAGAGAAATCGCGAAAATAAATTATCTAATGGCGTGAATATCGTTGTATGAGATAATTTGTTTTACTTTCGGGCGGTTACGTCGATCAAAGTACTCGCTGCTTAAGACCGTGGAATAAAGTGAGTACGTTGGCTGACACTACACGTAAATCTACGTCGTGACCTTTATTAATGTCTCAAGTCACTTCATAGACTCGCTAATGACTCGCCATCTGAGCGGTGATATATGCAAAGTATACCTCGAAACCGTTGGTTATCCCTTCCGCTGTTTCTCGATTAACTCGTAATTGACGTTCCTTCGATAAAACGTCGAGATATCAAGCAGTTCTCGATTATCGGAGAATATCTTAACGCGATGAAAAGTTCGCGATCGGAGGATTCCTCGCAAACTAAGATTGACAGAAGTAAGTGACGAAGCGTTATTCGTTGATTAATTTCACGCGGACTTTACGTCGGCGGACGTAAAGTTTCGATTTCAGGCCCAGCAACAAAAATAGGTAGTCCTGAGAGCGGAAATAGTGCGAATAAAAAGACGTCTCTGTATTCTTCTTCGCTGAGGAGAAATCAATTCTGGTTTGATTAGGGATCTACGAAGAGATTCGACGATATCAGAACACCGCTGCACAGGCGAACTGTTGCATATATTTGTTTTTGCATGGCACGAGACGAACTTATAAAAGATTCGCCAATTTAAAGCAGAAAATTGCGAGGGAAATGTCAAACGACGTCTCGGACTGTTTCGGCGTGTCGCGGATATTATTTTACAGGATAATTATCTCGTACATGCACACAAGCGCGCGGGTAATTGTCGTAAAAACAGGAAAACATCGCGGAGACACGATTACGAATAATTTCATGATGTAGATTTCAGGATGTTTGATGCAATTCCCGTACCTCGTATACACGTAGATCACAGATTAAAATGAACACGAAATTCATCTATCATTTTGCAATAACCACGTAGATTTTTGAGTCATTACTTAAAGAAGATTGGCGGATAATCGCGTGTGATAATGCACCAATGTTCTTTAATTAGCGACTCAAAATTTGACATGGTTGTTTGCGAAATGGTAGAGAAATTTCGTATTCAGTTTGATCTAATCTACACTAAGAAAAAGTGTTTAAGTAAATATTTATTTGGTGGATATTAACAACACACATTCATTTAAATATATATATATATATATATATATATATATATATATATATATATATATATATATATATATAAAATATTCTTCAAACACACACACACAAAGAAAATATTTTCTAAAACTTGAAGAAAACTTTAGTTTTGTAATTATTTATATCCTATTTAAGTAGAAGAATATAGATTTAAGTGAATACGCTGTTAGTATACTCTCATCAAATAAGTATTTACTAATTATTAGATATTTTTTCTCTCAGTATATACGTACATGAGATATGGGACACTTAGAGCGTCAGAGACGTATATAGAGCGAAAGGGTGACGCGTGCGAGGCGCGAATTCTCTCCGGCTAATTCGCACGACAACATTTCACTCTCAGGTGTAAACATCGCGTGGCTGGACACAGATAACTCCATCGACCTTACCGTCGACAGACCGAGACCGGGTTTCGCGAGAATGTCGGCTTAACTCGATTAAACATCCGACTTGATCTTCGCTTTAATTTTTTAATCTAATTCCGTTCCCAATGTGCGCTCGCGCGCGCGTACGACCACACCGGGAATGAGAGGGTTGATCTGACGACGCGGCCTCGCGAGTTCGAGCCGCCGCTATTTTTATCCATTCTCATATCCGACGGCAATCAACGGCGCGGTCTCATTGCGGCCGACAAAAAAGAAAGCACGGAACGACGCTTTTCCCGGCGGGGCTCTTCAATTACCGCCGGAGCGAGAGCGCTCTCTCTCCTATCGGGATATACGACGACGACGACGACGACGATGACGACGATGACGACGACGACCACGACAACGACCACAACAACAACGGCGAATCGACGACAGAAGCCGTAGCCGACACAGTGACGGCTGCTCTCTTTTGTTTAGTTAACCGAATATTTGCCCAGCCATGCGCATGTGTCGCGATAAGGGATGAACCACGAGAGAGAGAGAGAGAGAGAGAGAGAGAGAGAGAAAAAAAGAGAGAGACGGACGCGCGAGTCAATGCACATCGCAAATTTGCCGAGCCGATACGTCCGCGTGGCTCGACTCGGTTGGGCTCGCGACGTGAAATTTCAGCGCGGCCCCTGTGTGTGCACTTATTAGCGACTCTTTGTAGCAATTTTGCTCCGAGTCAAAAGAGGTAGAAAGTACGAAAAAGCGAGTTCATCCGCGAATAAATGCTTTTTCGATCGATGCCTGTGTACCCTGGGCTTGATAAATAGTTGAGGAAAAATGATCGTCGCGCGGACTCAACCACGTTGGGCAATGTTGATTAATTGACGTTGTTGTATCACACATGGATACGCGATTAACAGATATCGATCGATCGAGCCTCAAGTGACGCAACCGATAAGAGAGATACCGATCAGACACGGAGGGCCCATTAGCCACGGGGTGGCTAATATGGGTCTGGCGGGGGTTGACGTGATATCACACGCGAATGTGCAATTTTGTCATCGGCCAGTTAGACTTGTCAGTTAAAAAGGCGCTGAAATATTTATACTGCGGAACACGCAGTCGAGGGTAGAACGGAAGAGGGGCTCAGAGCGGGGAACACGCGAGACCCAGCGAGGGTAATACAGGAGGGTGCAATCGAGGAGTGTCAACAACGAAGAGGCCTGGGTGTTTTCGCGAAATTACCGCGGAACGCGTTTCGCGACTGCGATCAGCCGCGTACAGGATTGCGCAAGACTACCCTCCGTGACACTCGAAGGACTCGACTTGCCGCGAGGGAACAGCCGTTTCACCCCGTCTTCCCGCTCTCTCGCGGTCCTGTGAACGGCCACCCGGGGACCATCGCATCGCGATCGGAGAAACGCAGCAACGCAGAGTACTCGCGTACGAAATGGTCCGCGCGGGGAATGAAATTGCGCAGAATGAGATGATTACATCGCGTCGCGGTCCACGCAGCATCCGCGGGCTGCCAAACATCACGTAACGTCGCGTTCGCTACTCACTGCCATCTTTGCCCAACCGACACCAGTACATACCTCCTCGGTCGCATCCTGATCGCGTGTCCACCAGCAGCTCAGCCGATGTCTCTCACAGTCTCTTGCGACTCTCTCTTTCTTTCTCTTTCCCTCTCTCGTGCAGCCTCTCGCGCCACTTTCGCCTCCGCGTGAGATCAGACCGAGTCAGCAGCGACGGCCGAGAGACGCTGGTAACGCGTCGTCCTCTATGCCACCACGTCGTTCTCGCACACCTCTCGTTCTCCTCCTCCTCCTTCTTCTCCTTCTCGTCGACGTCGTTGTCGTCGTTGTCGTCGTCGTCGTCGTCGTCGTCGTCGTCGTCGTCGTCGCAGTTGTCCGTACGGCGACGTCGTGCCTCAGCGTCCCTGTTTCTCCCGCCGTCGCTGCGAGGGAGACGCACTCGAGATGCACTCGCAGAAGCACACACCGCTATGCACACACGCGCATACTTGCACTCTTGCTCGACCCCGACCGGGACTTCTACCACTACTGGCGGCGAGAAGTCCGTTTCTCTCCCTCGGCCCGGGCGTCGAGGCGTCGATACGACGGCGACGACGCTTGCGCGCCGCCCCCGATCCACCCTTTCCCATCCGGGCATTTTCGCGGCGCATTCGAGGCTGCGACCCTGCCGTCGCGAGCGACTGCCAAGCACCCTGTGCGGCCAAGAACGCCGTCGGCACGGTGTAACAAGCTCGCACTGCCGCGAAGGAGAGCACCCCGACCTGTCGGATTTCGGGACTGTCGAACGCGCGCGATCGAATAACATAACGAGAGTCTGTTGATAACGCGAACGTTCGTCGGAACGAGACGCTCTCGAGGTCGACCTCGAGACCGAGTAACTCGTGATGTTTTGTTATCGATCGTCGCGCTCGGTTTGGTTAGACTACCCCTTCGGCGTTTCCGTCTCGTCATCGCGCGAGGGGTTCGTGTTGTCGTTTTTTTTCCCCGTTCTTTCTTTCAATCACACGCCGAGATCATACAATTTCAGTCTCTTCGTTCCACATCACGGGCGAGAGATGCCGTTAATCTTGGCGTTTAGTTGCTTCTTCCCCCGGCAGCCGAATCAGCTGGCATCTCCGTCAGCTGACCGTAACTGCGTCGATGGAGTCGCCTCTGTAATTTATTCGCGCCGCGTTTGATTAAAGTCGCGGAATCGACGCGCGTCTCCTTCTCAGCACGACACTACGCACGCTGTGTTAATTACATCGTGCGGAAATTCAAATTAGATCTTTAGACAGTTCATCAGAATTTTATTCGGGCGGCAGTAATTTAGAGCGTTCGAGACAGGGAAGCTGGGAACTCGCGCATATTAATGCGATCGTCTCCGCGATAATTTCCCTCCTGCCGACGGCGATCAATTTGAATTGTTAATCCGATCGTAAACTATTTTTTGCGTAGTACTCGGTTATTCGTATAGGAGTCACCTCGATTAAATCCCGAATCTGTAATGAAAATTTTCCTCTCGCGACAATCACGCGATTGGACTTTTCAATCTCGCAGTCGTCTGTTTCTCTCTCTCTCTCTCTCTCTTTGTTCGGCTTCTCTAGCTGCAGAGATCGGTTGTATCGAAGTAGAACTTTCTAAGCGATGCGGGCGTCGCACGTCCTGTGAAATCCTCAGGATAACGCAACGAGCGCAATCCTGATGTCAGTGACGTGGCCGAGGTACTGAATGATTAAATTTAGCACAGTTACCCACTATTCTGCTCTCGCGACGACGCACATGTTCCATACGCTCGCTCATTCTGAAACCGCGGGCATTGTGCCGTCAAATTGGCACATCTCTGATACGAAAGTTCTGCAGCATTTCATTGTTACTTGGGCTGTGCCAACGAGCGCTTTTCCGCGATACACCGTCCGCGCGACAGCTTAGGGAAAGACGTTTTTAGACGTTCCGTCATTCCAATTGCGGGAAAGGTCTCCCCTTCGTTGAAAAATCCCGATTCGAGGACGCGAACCGAGCCGGAGGCTGTTCCTCTCTTTCTTTTTTCATCCCTTATTGATACATCAGCTGGAATTTAATTCTCGCGTTAAGTGCGAGAACTTTCGGAAGGTGACAGAATGGATATGAGCAAGTCTGAAGCGTTAATTCGCGAAGATTCTCAAACTCTCGATCGCTCGTGTTCTCGAAATATAGCTCGGACTTCTGTGTGTTGAGGAACACTCAATCTTGGTTGAAATATCCGCGAGCGAAGGACGGCGTATGCGGAACGCGCTGGGGACACCCTATATGAACGCACGAGACTTCCTAAACGCAGCTACCTCTTATTGATTTGTGGCTAGCCGAGAGAGATGAACGCAGCGTGAAGTCCAAAACGCTGAATACCATGATGACCTCTTCGGGAAGGTCTTTACCAAGCGATTCTGCGCTCAAAAGTGTGCCGAGGACGTTGAAAACGAACAGACTCGCGCTCTTTCTCGTCCGGATATTTGTGTCGAACCCTTCTCGAGCGGGGAGAGAAACTCACCTCGAATACGCTCGCGCGAGCGGAGATTGCATTATAATTGGCAGAAAAAATTGTTCAGATCGATAATGACCTTTCACGTCCACTGCCAATTTTTTGAACTTTTCTTGCAACGCTGCTCGTTACTTGGTTCGCCGACTAAGAAAAGCACCGTTGCACCTTTGCTCTTTTATGAAATTATTTACGCGTAAAAATATTTGACAACCCGTGAATGTAATGAGCTTTTATTGAATTCTTCAAACCGTCCATTCGTTAAATATACACACATTATTCGATTGCACGAAATACATACAACTGCACGTCGTACAATGTTTGTGTTTGCAATTCACGCGCGTGTAGCATCGAACTGCCAAAACAAAACCTCCCGAGTCCTATTGAGTCAAACAGTAGATTTGCACGAGACCATTTGACCCCAGGGAAACGCGGAAGAAGCTGTCGCGAGTGTTTTTCTCGGGCTCGGATGGGTGGAATTTAAAAGAACTGGAACTTAAGGAATAGTGCGCGCGAGATTTAAAAAAAACGGAAACATAAGAAAGGAAGAAGTCAGTATCGTGTCAGGAGAAGAGGAAGGGAGACATAAATACATTGTATATATATTTACATTGTTTCAGAGGGTACGGAATTACGTGGACGACACGACGACGACGACCACGACGTTCACGTGGCGCTTTCATATATACGCTCACACCTACACACACACAAGCAAGCACACACATACAGGAGACGAGGACGGCGCTTGAGAGCTCGATATTCCTAATGCGGCGTCAATGGCTTTCTTGAATGCCGTTTCCATTCCGGATGGCGACCTTGTTCGCGTACTTCCCGTAGACCCTGCCGCTCCTAGTGACCCTGTAGTGGATCTGAGGTCCTGCCTGAATCACGGACACGGCGCTGGGTACGTGCGGGCCGTCACCGGTGCAGAGTGGCCGCTTAGCGCGTCGTATACTGCTGGTCTTGTGCTTGTGCAAGTGTGCGAGACTGTGCCGTTTGCGCTGCTTCAGGATCATCGCGGATTGTACCTTCTGATTGATCGTCGGGTCGGCGGCTCGCCTCCTCAGCAATCTCAGCGGTGAAACCGCGAGGACCGTCCGGGCGATGCGGCTTCGACAACGCCACAGCACAAAGGCCGTCGTCAACCAGGCTAGCCACGGACTAGCTTTGAGATTCGGCGTCCGCTCCCAGACAAATAGCATCTGTGGGTGAGTAGGTGAAATGTTAGAGATTTTGTTAAGGGGTTGCTCCCCCTCCCCCCCCCCCCAAA